TGCATAGTCCTTCTGACGTCATCGACAGATTTAAAAAAAGCCAATTTAATAATAATTGCGGAATTGATTAACTATCACTCTGTCACAATAAGTGTCAAGGACACCAATGTAAAAGACTCCGCGTGAATAAGTATGCAAATGATTACAATCTGTAGGTCAGTGTTACGAAACCTGTCACCGATCATTTAACACGTAGCCATTTAGTAGATGCTAATCAATATTGGACAGGTTTCGCTGTAACAAATAAACAAGAAAAATGATCCGATCAAGATGCAAGCGTACTTTCAAATAGGAATGTAATATCGCAATTAAGTAACTGAGATCGAATAAGTTTTTGGAGGTCCATATACAACTATTGAAGGTAATTATAAATATGATATAACAAAAACAAATGAAGAGTGAGAGAGTTAGTTCGGAACGGTTTGAGGGGGTTATGCAAACATTTGGGAATTTGACAAAATTGCAACAGAATTGAAGAACAGTGTAATCGCTCTAACGAAACTCGTTTCATTGCGTTTCAGTAAGATTATTCATATAGGTTACATAAGCAATACCACAATACGTTGCAATGTTTTGAAATCGGTATTAAAAAGGCTAAAATCGCTATAGATAATTTTCGAATTGGCTTCGAGACAAAATCTAAAGCTTTACATAATAAGCGAATACGCGTAACTTTTTTTAATAACTACATTTTATTTTTTTAATTTTCATACAAATGTACCATACGGTATTTTAGGATTCGACATTTATTAAAATTGTAATCTGAACTTTGCATATATAATATTATTTATACACGACATATAGATTTAGTCTAAGACTGAGTGTTTTCTTATTATCGAAGATATAAAGATGTATAAGTTTAACAATACCTGTTTGTGTTTGTATGTGTATGGAAATAGCAACCTGTCTAAATTTTTTAAAGCGATTTGTTGGCCTATATTTATGTAAGTTTTCCTATGCACTTTGTAGAAACATAGAACTCTAATAAAAAGCAAATTACAAGAAATAAACACGGCTCTTTGTACTTGATTGAAAGTTTACGGCAGTATTGTACGATACTAATGTCACTTTTTGTTGCGCAAGCGCGTATTAGTCAAAACCACTTCCCCATCGACTATTACGTGATGGATGTTATGAGGGATATTTCTGGTGGTTCAATTTGTGGGTAAAGTACTTTTAGACGATTTTGTAGTCATTTTCAAATGAACAATCTTTTTTTTCTATCAAAATATATTCTTTCTGATCTTTGTAATTCTATGGTAAATATCTCGGAGAAAGAATAATAGATGCCGTCAGACAGGCCACAGGTCTTAAAAACTAAATGTCTGGAAACCTATCAAAGAAAGAGACGTGGTAATATGCCCATGCCTACCATTGAATAAGAGATTTCACTCTCCTCTCATTTATGCAGAAAAAAATCCCTTGCATTGAATATGCCTAAAAATAAAAATTGTAAAACCATTCGATTAAGATATCAAACTCCAATTCGTTGCAGACATTTGTCATGGTCATTTTTCAACCTGTATTGCTTACTTAACTGTAGATCTTTAACAATTTTTAACATAAAAAACTTTTTATTACATTACTGGTATACAAATCGTAAACTCAACCACCATGTCGGACTGTTTTTTTAATTTTGCATTGAAAAAATTCGTCGTTTTTCACATTCGAAATTCGATTTTTTTAATAGAAATAAGAAAAACAACGCAAAAGCGTTATTCTTTAAGCCTTAGCTTATCTTAACTTCATCGCGGTGTTTGATTTTACAACAGTACACAACAAGTACTTTTTTACCAACCGTAATAATAGCAATAAAATAGAGAGTGCAGTTTTAACTCGTTGAAATCAAACAAACGGCATTATAAATGCTATCTCACATTTCTATGTTGTTACGTAATTTTCTGCACCATTAAGTATAGTTAGCGGAAGGAACGTAAGGTTCTGTACATAAAAGACTAGCTGTGCCAGCGACTTCGTCCGCTAAGAATATTTATTTTTGCCATCTAAATTCGTTTTTACATGTCCATTTATCTTTACAAACTTAAGCTGTTACCCACGACGTCGGTCGCGTCTCTTCCCGTCGTTCTTACAAGTTAATCTTAAAAGATAGACATATAGCGTCGCGGACTCTTTTTAGGTCGTTTAAAGAAGTAACATCCTTTCATACATATTGTTTGGGTATCTTGAACCATTTTTGCAGCGGACGCCTTAATAACCCATAGTGGTAAATAATATTCCCAATTATAAAAAAAAAGTTACAAGTTTTAAAATAAAAGAATTTTCGACCACGACTTGGCTTTTCGCCTGCTTTGCACTACCAATCATGTTGAATTATCAACAGACAATATGTAATTTAAACCGCGGTTTAAAACGCGAAATATATTATTCAATATGTATTTAAATGCTTAGTTTTCAACAAATTATATTTATTTCTAGGTATATTCGAAACCGCAATTCGCAAATCAAGATCATAAATAAATATATATATATAAACGTAAAATTATATTTTTTTAAACGATACGCATCTTCAGAACCAAACTGTAACTTACGCGAGTAGTACAAACAAAAAAAAATAGAACAATGTATTCTAATTAAACTATCAATAGGGGATATTGCAGCAATACAAAGATAACACTAACTAACTGCATTACATAACGCTTTGGTAACATTTATACGGAAGTGGGTCACGATTCGAGTCCTTGCGGTAGACTCGACGCCGATCGAGGCTTTTGAAATCAGTGTCTGGGCCGAGGTTGTACTGCATGTTCAAATCGAAACGATATTACAACCTTTTTCCTTCTTTCCTTGGTAACAGAAAAGGGCAAACAAGCATGGCGATAACATGATGGAAAGTGAAATGTCCCAAATATATAAAGCTGAAGAGTTTGTTTGTTCGAACGCGCTAATCTCAGGAACTACTGGTTCGAATTGAAAAAAATATTTTCGTCTTAGGTAGATCATTTATTGAAGAAGGCTATAAAAAACATAGTGTTGTAACTAATAGGAGTGATACCCAAAAGATACGAATGAAAAATTATTTTCTTTAAATGATTTAAAAAAAGTCCGCGACAGTGTATGTCTATCTATTTGGATTAACATGCAAGAACGACGGGACGCGGACGGCGTCGTGCGTAACAGCTCAAATTTATAGAGTTGAACAAGTGGTTTGCAAAAACAATAATTTATATAAAAAATAATTATTCTACGCGTACGAAGTCGCGTGGCCCAGCCAGTCTGTATTATATAAGTTTGGAAATTCGGTAATAACTGAAACTTAAACATGAATTTTAACTCCACGGCAGTTGGGCGGTGGAGATACAGACAAAATTATGATATTCCTGCCTCCCATATAACATTCAGGTTATGACATCATAGAAAAACAGTTTCATAGTAATAATGATTCACACTTTAATTTATTTATATAAAAACACTAAAGCTAAGAAACGCATTAATTCTAAGGTCATGTCATCGATGCGACGAAATACCTTGTGAAATGGTGAAAGTAATTTTGTCTTTGGCCTTGTACTAATTTTAAATTATATTGTCATAAAACAAAGGGTATAAAAATATTTAATATTCACGTTTTAATTTCGTTACGTAACGCGTTACGGCACATCTGTCATTTTATCGGTCCTTTGTAGTCAGAGCCTTACGCGCGCGTTACGCGTTGTTAAATAGGTCTTGTTTAATATATCCATATAAATCAGTCCCAGTTGGAGTTCGTTTAAGTATTTCATGAATTTGTACCAGTTATAACACGAAACAGTCTTGAATATTCGACGAGACCTTCACCTAGTACCACACTTTTTTGTAGTTGGCCATTACATAAGGTTTGTTTACAAGCCAAATTACTTTCATATGAAACTGCCACTTCGCATACTTTTTGAATAAGGTTACGTTTTTCACTTCCGCACTTGAAAATAGATTGCTACATTGCTGCAAAGGTCGTAATTTTATTATTGTTAAGGTACGTGACATTTTAGTAGGTAGTAGATAACTTCCGAACAAATAAAAGAAATAGCTTTTGAGAATGTCGGGAAAGCATCGGAACTTTTCCAAATTTCCTATAAATACGTCGAAAGAACGTTCCTTTAACTTCTTACTTTGATTAACCAAAATTTAACCCTTACGGTTTAAAACGCGATATATATTAGATAAACTTATATAATTATTCTAACTACGGCCCGACCTTGCGGATGCTTTGCAGCAGACGTGGTCAGGGGGAGACTCCCCGTTTTAAACCTTTAAAGTGTTTTATTTAAAAACTTACCTTTCTAAAAATATATATATGGAAACCGTACATCAATACAATACCGCCTTCCTAGTGTGCTGTAAACATAAGTTATTTTGCATAGTCGCGAACTTTTACTATATTACTGTCGACAGCCTCAGATCCGCGTGCCGGCAGAACCACCGCAACACAATGAATTACCAAAATATTCGTCACGCTCTGATTCTTTTACCAACACAATAGAACTATAGCAATGTTGTGTAAACACACTCCCTTATATGTATGTTATAATAAAATACGTAATGTATATCTAAAGAAACCGTTTTCATCGATACGATTCATTTCATTGAATAGTAAATCTGATACATAAAATTCTTGCGTTAGCTAATGCCTTTAAAACGGCTCGACCGATTTATGAAATTTTATGTGCATATTCAGTACGTCTGAGAATCGGTTACTATTTATTTTATACCGCTAAGAGATAATGGTTCACTCTTAATATTTATTTTTATTTTTTTGTCATCTTCCTTAAAGTACACAAATTATAAATTCCCTAGAAATAATGTATTTGGCAAAACCACCTTTGACGAGTCAGCTAATAAAAATATAAATAAACTGTTCCAGGTACGAGTAACGACTCATCACTTCAAGCAACTCGAGAGTTAACATGATAGAGACGCCTTGGCCATCACTTCCGACCAAGAAAGCGATGCGCAAGAGCAAACCACCGGACAAATCGTCGTGACACTGTGACAATTAAAAGATTGAGATGGCTATCCATGTTCTATTAGCTTCGTCTGCCCTGAAAACGGTCAGCGTGACTGGTCTCTGGCTCATACCGTTGCTGCTTGGAGCGTTTACCTATCACAATTACAATTCGTACGATCCAGAAGCGAAAGTGCACGATAAAGAGCCGAGAAAGGAATACGACTTTATTGTCGTCGGAGGCGGATCCGCTGGCGCAGTTGTAGCCAACAGGCTGACTGAAATTAGCGGTTGGAATGTTCTTTTACTCGAAACTGGTATGTACGTTGGTTTTATAAGCAGGCTAAACTATGGGTGGGCTTGGGGCATACGCAACGTCGAATTTATGGTTTCTAATATGCACCTTAATACTGCAGGTCTGAAAACTAATTGTCCCTGTAAATAAAATAAATATTAAACAAAGATCTACTAATTAAATAATACAATCCATAAGAATTCATGTTTCTACTTAAAAAGAGGACTAACCGCGAAGTAATATTCCGTTCTTATGCGTACTATAAGTATTATTTTTCTTCAGCGAGAGTAGTGATTTTAAAAATAACACAATATATTTATCAACTTCAGGTCCAGACGAAAATGAAATTACAGACGTGCCATCGCTCGCAGGCTATCTTCAACTTACGAAATTGGATTGGCAGTATAAAACTGAACCTACAGAATACGCATGCTTAGGTTTTAAGAAACACAGGTGCAGCTGGCCAAGGGGCAAGGTAAAAAATATTTAAAGACTTTTTATCTTTAATTCTTTTTTATTGTTAATTTTTGTTTTTCATTGTTTTCAATAAAAAAACAATTATTTAACACGATGAAACGTTAAAGGCAGTTCCGTAAATGAGTGATGTGTGTGATGATCTTTTTTTTTTTATAAAAATATTTACCCTGTTTCATTATTTATTGCAATTTCCAAACAATAGAAGATTAGTACACAACCTTTAAATATACTTATTTACCAGACCGGATCAATTCACCTCCAATAAAAACGTGTATTTTATTATTACAGGTCCTAGGAGGATCCAGCGCATTAAACTATATGATATATGTTAGAGGTAACCGACTCGACTTCGATCATTGGGAGTCATTAGGCAATCCAGGCTGGTCATATGAAAATGTATTGCCTTATTTCAAAAAGTCTGAAGATAATAGAAATCCTTATTTATCAAATAATAAATACCATGGGCGTGGTGGATATTTAACGGTCCAAGAAGCACCCTGGAGAACACCCTTAGTAGCTGCGTTTGTTGAATCCGGTGTTGAATTAGGTTATGAAAACAGAGATATTAATGGAGAGGTCCAAACCGGGTTTATGATAGCTCAAGGGACGATAAGAAGAGGATCAAGATGCAGCACAGCAAAAGCCTTTTTGAGGCCCGTTAGAACGCGACCTAATCTCGACATCTCACTGAACTCGCAAGCAACTAGAGTCTTGATAAACCCAGTAACATTGAAAGCGTTTGGAGTCGAATATGTAAAACATGGAGTGAAGAAGGTTGTATACGCAAGAAAAGAAATTATTTTATCTGCAGGGGCCATCAATAGCCCTCAAATATTAATGTTGTCTGGAATAGGACCCAAAGATCATTTAAGAAACGTAGGAATACGCGTCTTGAAGGATTTACCTGTCGGTGAAAATCTGCAAGATCATCTGGGTGTAGGGGGTTTAACGTTTCTAGTCGACAAACCTGTATCAATTGTACAAAATCGATTTCAGGCTTTTCCTGTCACCATGAATTATGTGGTTAACGAACGAGGACCCATGACTGTACTAGGAGGTTTGGAGGGTGTCGCGTTTGTTAATACCAAATATGCGAACAGTTCCGGCTTGTGGCCAGATATACAATTTCATATGGCACCAGCTTCCTTCTCCTCAGATAATGGTCAAATAGTAAGAAAAATTCTAGGTTTAACGGACGAATTGTACGATACAGTCTTTAAACCTATAGCTAATAAAGATGCTTGGACGATAATGCCTCTACTGCTTCGACCTAACACAAGGGGATATGTTAGATTGAAAAGTTCAAATCCATTTGATTATCCAATTATGAACCCAAAGTATCTCGAGGACAGCTTGGATGTAAAGAGACTCGTCGAAGGTATTAAGATTGCGATGCAAGTAGCAAATGGTACACCTTTCAAGCAATTCGGTTCGAGACTGTACATGAAACCCTTGCCAAATTGTAAGAAATATACATTTATGTCAGATGAGTACATTGAATGTCAAGTAAGAACCATTACTATGACAATATACCATCAATCTGGCACAGCCAAGATGGGGCCTTCTTGGGATCCTGGTGCTGTTGTCGATCCCAAATTGAGAGTGCATGGTGTAGAGGGACTGAGAGTAATAGACGCTAGTATCATGCCAACTATTGTTAGTGGAAATACGAATGCTGCAGTAATTATGATAGGAGAAAAAGGTTCCGACATGATAAAGCAAGACTGGTTAAATCGGTGATGTTGTAATAATGAAAAGAAATTAAGAAGTCATTATTAATTTTGTAAAACAATCTGAAGAAGATAAGGCATTCTGTCAATGAAGTATTGTTTATCCTACATACTTAAATAACATGGGATAAATCAATCTCGAAATGATAAAAATAAAAGCAATTGTCTAATAAAAAATAATTTGAAGAATATATTTCAAAATAAGGCAGGAACAGGGAAACCTACTAGTGACAGAGTACTGCTCTAAGCCACTGCGCAGAGCAACGGTACCGGACTTTCTTTTTAAATTCTAATGGTCTTATAATGTAATACTATGTGAAAATCATATTGATTCGAGTAGGTGATAAGATTTGTCGAAATCCAATCTATCCTTAGACCTTATAAGGGTTACCAGATAAAAGCCAAAGCATCTAGATGTTTAGACGTTGTTGTTTAGAATTCATAGTCAATGTTATTTAAATTAAATAAGAATTGTTATGTAGTGTTAATGATATACGTAGTTTTTAAAATAATACTAAGTCAATATCCTGATAATTCTTTCATGCTAAACCAATTCTGGGAAATCGACATTTGTTTTAGAATTATATGTAAAGTAAATTAATTATTAATACATGGGCCAAAATACTTTTAAGTGCCTAATCCGAGAACACAATAGATTTTTTTTCAAAATTGAAAACTTAATTTCCTTTTTTTAAATGCTGAAATAGATATGTTATAGTTCTATTTATAACACACCTACCTCAGCAGCGATGGTTTAAGTGATTTAATAATATTTATAGCATATAATACATCAAGTTGTCGAGAAATTAAACAACTGCGTAACTATTTTACAGATGAGGTTATTATCTAATAAATCGGACATTGTGACTTAATAATACGTCAGTTTTAAACTGTAGTGATTATATAAATCACCTATAAAGCAAAATCATAGAAATAATCAGTTTCATCGAATATTCATGTTTAATTAGATAATGCGTTACCTATGTTAAATATTAAAACTTAAACTTTTCCATAAATTACAAAAATAAACTTAAAATTAATTCCAATTGAAACATAGTATTGTTCTTTCATAAATAGTAGACGTATAAATTTAAGACATTTTTGACAATAAGAGTCCTTTGTATAATTAAAGATACAATAAAAACAAGAGGGACACAAAAGTAAGAGTATAATCTTCGTAACCAGTAGTATTTTTTATAACTATACTTTGAGTTTTAATAGAGATCTTTATAACAAAACAATTTTAACTGTTCATGACTCGACATAAAATTAAGTACCTCAAGTAACATAAAACGTTTGCCTAGTCAAATTTTTAAAATAAAACCTTAATGAAAAATCAACTGTATAAACTAACGAGGCACTATATCTTCAGTCTCTCTTCAGAAATTTTTTGGGTTGTCATAATTGAAGTATAATCTTTTACCTTTCACGACAACTTTGGGGTTAGGGACAATTTCTACAATGTTTTGTATGGTTCGTGAGATATTATGTTTGAATTTTGCCAGTTCGTCAATTGTTTGTAAAACATAATTTAACCCCTTCTTCATCAACTTTACTTTTAACAACACCAAGGTAAGAATTATTTTTCCTTAACATAAGTAACTTTTACTAAAACATGGACACCTTCATATATCTTGTAGGATGAACATTTTCCTTTTCAATTTGCTGATTTCACGGGGTGAGTTAGATGTTGACACTTAGCACAAGCTTCATAAGGGCTTCTCGTCAGAGCTAGAAGACGAATAATAAATCTTGTAATACGTACCTTAAAGGTACGGCAACAATATTAGTAATGTCATCAAGGACTATATCATATCAGATTCATCAATGGAACGTCTTCTTTAGGTATGATGGGATATGTGTAGAGGCTTATATGTTTTTAGATTCATGCACTAACAAAGCCCCTCTTGCAAAAACAACTAAGGTCTTTTAGCGAAGTTCACCCAACGTGTGAGTAAAAACCTGATGTATGCATCGTACCCTGAAGTGGACTAGACTTTCAGGTAGTGTTTTCAATGTTATGAATATACTGTATAGTTACCAAGTAAACGGACCTTGCTCAAGTTTTTAGGGTGTCAAAAAATTCATCTGATTAGAAATATTTGAACTAACAGCAACTTTTTTATCTGCAGTGTTTGAGATAGCCGCCAACACCATAGAGCCCCTTTGCGGCCCAGCTTCAAAAATTCCATGTAACGCGAATGATTTTGTTGTTGCTGCTGCGGTATGATGTATAGATATAGTGAAATTCGGTGATAATGAAATAAATGTTGTTTTTCGATACTGAGATCGAGAAAAAATGAATTGTATTAGGTTGGTGGAAATGGGTGTAAGGGCAGATAGAGGCTGGATTATTAGAATTATTGAGATATGGTACGAAATTCTCATAATCCAGCTAGCATTTACCGGGCCTTGTTTCATTTATAGGTCAGGCATTTAGGACAGAAACTTTTTTCTGAAAAAAAAAGATACAATTTTCCTAAGTATCGGATTTAATAACGTATACTTTAAAGTAACAAAAATACAACTAGTTACCTATCTAACTACTGCTATTTTTTTGTAACGAGTGTAGAGTTAGCAGTTGTAAATATTTGACTAAATTGTAAATAATTTCCAAATAAATAATAAAATCCAGATATTTTTACACTCACGTTGCATACATACCTAAATGCGTAATAAACAATAATAACGTGAAATATTAGACGTAACATTAAAGCGGTAACTCAGCAGACAGACAAAGATACACGCACCTCCTTCAGGAGCGGGACGCGACCAGACGGCGAGAGTACTGCCCCCGGCTGTTATGTCGTTTGTTAAACGAGTTACTACAAATCGAACCAAATAATGTGCAAGTAACCTTAATCCAATCATTTTAAATTTTTTTCATAAGTAACGCAAGGTAGTAGAATTGTTACTGTTGGGGACACAGATACATTAATTTTTTATTTTATTAAAGTCAATTTAAAACGTTTCTAAGCCATCAAAAGCAACTTGATTTTTATTAACCACTATAATTAACCGCCACCTAGGAAAATTTTGAGAAATTGTTCCGTAATTTGGCACAATGTAGGGACATAGATATTTAGTATAAAAACGTGTATAAAAATGGAATTTGTTATTAAATTTTCAATTAATAAAATTATTTCAGTTCAAATGTGTTTGAAGATAATAATTTAAATTTAAAATATAATATGTCAAATTGAGGGGGAAGTTTTTAGGCATAAAGTATTTGAAATCTAAACATATTTGTATGGCACATTGATGATTTAGACTAATGTTTTAAGGCCTATTACTGTAAGACCAATCAAAATACAATAATTGACGGAACCTTGTACCAAAGTAACAACATGTACGTATAAAAGATTAATTTTTAACAGTTTGATACTCCAATTTGACCTAATTAATAATTTTTAACAACCCAATGTTACCGATTCAAACCAGTGCATACTTTTTTACATTTAGAATTTTTTCAGACAAACAACCTACTCTCAACTACTCATATACTGTAAAATCGTTAAAATGAAACACTGTTAATGGTTTAAAACGCGAATTAGAACTGTGACACGTTCTACCGTGATCTTACATGGTCCTAGACCTTGGAAGGTCACGGTCGGAAAACATCATCGTGTAAAAGTAAAAAAAGGGTTAAGTTATATTTCGCGTTTGAAACCGTTGGAAGTGTCTAATCTAATTATACACGTGTAAGTAATATTTATAAAAAGTTATATGGAGATTTTGAGTCACGTATCTGCCCTTTCTGTTGAATATAAGACCCACGTTCTTTAGATAAATAAACTAATTTTATGATTATACATCTATGAATAGTGTAATTCCAGTGGTTACATTACTTTTAATTAGCAATTACCTACAATATTGTAAAAAGTATACATTAGGCCTTATAATTATAGTGCCATACTATTTTAACAATTACTTTACTTTTTTATTATAGTACTTCTTTGTTAAGTTTGTAAACTTTACAATATTCGAATAATTTACTGTTATAAATAAATGCAATGTTATTATTGTTTTATTAAAGGAAGCAACATATTTTGTCATTGGTTAATGTAGGTACAATCAGATTGTTTCGGTCGGGCAGAGCACAGAAGTTTACACTACTTGCCTTTCAAATAAAATAGATAATGACTTAATTCTATGACGTGATACGAAATTTCATTGTTCCAATCCATCGGTTGGTTATACGTAACTCAAATTTTTGCCTTCGAAAAAGGAAGAAACAAACGGGCGTCTAGTTCTAGTTACGACGCTCAGAAGCGTATTATAATAAAATAGAAGTAATATAATCGATGATGTGATAATCTTAATAGAGCAATTTATATTTGAAAACATCAATAATTTTCACAATGTTACATTAAGGGACTATATTATACTTTAATAATCGAAAATAAATTTAAAAAAATTGACTCGGTAGCTCAATTGGTAGAGCAACAACACAACAACTGACAATGCCGGTTCAAGTCCTGCCCGAGTCGAAAATTTTTTCAGTTTATTTTCGATTTTTTTATTAGAACAATGGATATGAAAAAAATAATGATTAGTAAAAGTTAAACATATAAAAAATATAACTATTACAGTATAATTTTGAAAGGCAACTAGGAGTTTACATTTCTATAAGTAAAAGTGATTCTTTGTATCGTTTCACAAAACAGAATTTTGTGTTTTTCATTCTGAGAAAATGCATATATTTAAAATATATGTGAAATATGGAAAGTGAAAATGCTCCTGCCAAAACGTCCAGATTTTCCAGACACAGCAACAAACACGTTTAGAAAAATCAATTACTAATACAGCTCTAAGCACATTAGTACTAGTAGTACTGATTATTACAGCAAGTCTGTACGGCCCTGGAGGTAAACCCAAATATAATACATCGTATTACAAAATAAAGAAAAATAACTTCGATGCCAATGCCATATTTATTTATTATTTATAAAACGTGAATGCTAGTCTTACTAGTTGCAAAAATTTGAAACGATTAAATAAATGTCAATG